GGCTGCCCCGCAGTGTTTGAGCACAGTAAAGCGAAATGCTGCAAGCCTATGAATAAACAGTAACTCAATATGAATACAGCATCTGAGATGATTTGAAAGATCTGCTGCGCAGCAGTCATTAATAAACCAAAGCCAAAATCTGTTTGTACCAACACTAGCACTGACTTGAGGATAAATCATGTATAAAACTCTCCAGAGTGCAGTAAAACTCTACTTTTACCAGAGTTTATTTGGACTATTTGACAGGATGTGTCCTCATTCGGTGTGTGTGTTTGTGTTGCTGCGCATGTAGCGTTTCATCTACAGTTCTTGGAGTGTAGCCACAGGTCATCTTTTAAGTAAACAACAAATGTGCAGAACTGTTCAACTGGGGATTTCCAGAGAAAGCAAGCAACTGAAACATGGTCACTTTGTAAATAAACCCATTCTTAATAGGACCGGAGAGATCAAATTCTGACTCATTTACACAAACATATACACCCTTCTGTTTCTGGCACAAAGACACACAGACACACAAGGTAAATTCTAAATTTCATATTCACACTGTTACACTTTGTTATGTCCCTGTTCAGTGCATAACTTCTGCTGGGTTGCTGTGCCTCATTTCTTGATAAATGATCTGTCTAGGGTACTTAATCAGACATGTTCTCTCTCTCTCTCTCCCACACACACACACACACACACACACACAGGCATGCCCACATATCACATATAAATATCGCAAACACGCACAAATCACCAAGGCAGATGCACACATGTTTGACAGATTGAGTTCAGGGTCAGAGAGATGCTGTGTTTGTTACACGTGTGACAGTTTTACAATATGCTCCGGGGATGTGTAATTCACTATGTGGATGTGATGTGACGTAAGTGAGAAGTGATGTAAATGAAGTGTGTGTGTGTGTGTGTGTGTGTGTGTGTGTGTGTGTGTGTGCAGGTCTGCTGGTATGGTCAGTGATTGCTCAGCTTAGTCTTGTGCAAGATCAGTGAGCCCCGAATGTTCAGGATGTTACTGCAAATAAAATGAATTAATCTGATAGAGAGCTCTAAGGGTTCCACTCCACTACTTTTATTTT